TTTTTTTAAAACATATCCGGGCCGGGCCTAAAAAATTTTTTTTAAAATATATCCGGGCCGGGCTTAAGATTGTTAAACCCGGGCCGGGCCTTAATATTTTTTATAAAAATTTTTACATTATGAGTTAATGGTTATAAGATTATATTATATTATAGTTATGATTAATATAATATTGGGTGATGGTTAACACTACCTAACAACCCACAGATCGATCTAATTATTAATTTCCTGCAAATTTATTCAAAGTATTAATATATTTTTTTATAATTCATTTTTACAACATATTTTACCAAAACAATCAAATAAAGGAATATCTTAAATAAGCCCCAATATTCAAGTATTATTAATATATTTTTTTATAATTCATATCTAAATTTTTAGAATATATTTTACCAAAACAATCAAATAAAGAATTATCACTTCTTAAAGTTTGTAATTGATTTTACTTAATATAAAGCATTTTTTAATTGAAAAATTTGTTTTACACAAGTATCATTTTATTTCTCTTTTTCTCTGTCCCAAATTCAAGCAATTACGTATGTAGTCAGGGACAGATCGCAAAATGACGGAAAACTATATAAAATATTATATTAAATTACAAGAGGCTCAGGAAGTAAATGAAATACCATCGACCAGTCAAATTACGACTGTTGTTAAACAAACTGAATCGTTTTATGACAAATGGGGCGATGGTAATTCTGGTAATATGTCAATACCCGATGATGAATATTATAATTAAATAACTAATAGATAAAAAATTTAAGGTGGATAATTTGTTAGAGTGGTGGACGGCTCATCAAAGCGAATTTCCAATTTTAGCAAAATTGGCAATTCCTGCTTTAAGTGCAAGCTGTGAGCGGAATTTTTCCACTATTGGTAGAATTCTTGAAGAAAGAAGAAGTAATCTTCAACCTAAAAAGGTAGATATGCTTCTCTTTCTTCATGATAATTTGTGAATTTTTAATATCTTTCTCGAGTATAGGGTTTCGTCAATCATGCTGGTTTTTTACTTTGCAAACTGTCAAATATTTATTGCATTTATTATATTTAACTTGAGTCATGAAAGTTTTTAATCCAACATTTTTCATTTTTTTTTACAATATTATATAATACAATTATCTTCTTTTGTTAAAAATTTATATTATAAAATAAATTATATTAATATTGTGCAATTAGATTATATTTTCAAAATACTATTTATTATACATGCATTTTTTTAAATAGCGATTTATTTTTATTTTATAAATTAAATAGTAAATTAAATACAATATATTATATTCTCAAAATATTTTCCATTTTTATAAATTAAATATTAGTTTTATTTTTTTTAAATGTAATATAAAATATAGTATATGACAAATATTATTACCATTTTTATGAATATTAGTTTTATTTTTTTAAATGCAATATAAAATATAGTATATACTCAAAATATCCATTTTTATAAATAACAGTTTTATAATTTTTATAAATTCAATATAATATTCTCAAAATATTAGCTTTTTACATGTATTTTTTAAATAATAAGCGATAATACTCGCTGAAAAATATGGTAAAATACCTCATAGGTGAATTTTTGTATATACCAGGTCGAATATAATTTTAAAAAATTCCGAGCCGGGCCTTAAATTTTTAAATCCGGGCCGGGCCTAAAAAATTTAAAACCGGGCCGGGCCGTGCAAATGGTACCTCTGCAGTTCTCTGATGTATACTAAATATGATATTTTTCTTTAAAATTTATTTTGCTTGTTATGATTATGACTTTTAATCCCGCATTTTGTAATTTTTTGAGGACTTGTTTTATATTCTCTACATGTTCCGTATCATATTTTCCTGCGATTATAACATCGTCTAAATAAACTGCTATATCTTTACAGTCAGCCAGTAAATCATCCATATATCGTTGAAATAATATTGGTGCTGTAGCTGTACCAAAATTAATTGGAAATTCTTCATCAATACTCATTTGTAGATATGCGTCTTTTAGATCTTATGTCATATACTTATGTCCATTAACGATCTTTGCGATTAATTCTTCAAACGTTGATAGAATGTGATGAGTATTCCAAGTTACTCTTGTTATTGAAGGATCTATTTTCTTATTATGTTATTTTCTTCCAAACGTTTCAGTTCATTTTCAATCTCTACTTTTAAAGCCAACGGTACTCTTCTTGCTGGTAGAGCTATTAGTTTTGTATTTTCTTCTAATTGTAGTTTTACTGGTTCTATATTATTAATCTTAATTTATTATCAAACACGGTAGCAAATTCTTTATATAGTTTTTCAATATTCACGTTCACTATATTTATTGCTGATCATATTGACTTTTACCATTGTTGGTAAAGATAGGACAACTTCTATAGTCCAAGGAAATCCAAATAGCGCTGCATCATTTGCCTTTGTAACTAATATATGTTATTTTATTTTATCATCTAACTGAACTTTTATATAAGCTTCTCCCATAATTTTTATTTTATTGTTTCCATAAGTAGTTATGGCTGTAATTATTCTAAGTTTTGACCTCACAATTTTCTTCCATATTGTTGCTTTAATGATGGTTACTGCTGAACCTATCATATTCCATTTTAATTTCGTGTTGTTTATCAATACCATAATTGTTGGGTGCTGCCCATATTTGTAAACTTTTTTTATTGAGAAATCGGAATCTTCGTCGTTACTATTGTAATTTGTACCGTAGACTTTTCCTCCAGTTTTACAACACACGGCAAAGTGGTTTAATTTCTTACATTTGCTGCACGTTTTTCCGTATGCTGGACAATATTCTTATCATTATGTTTAGTCGTCTCTTTGATTTTATAAACCGTTTTAGTAATATATATTTCTAAGTCATCCCGTTCCATCGCTAAAGCCATTTCTATAACCTTGTTTAAGCTTAACGGTTGCTCTTCTTCTCTAGTGTCTGGATATCTTAAACGTAGTTCTTTATCTAGTTGTGACATCTTTAGTCTGGCGATTAATTGATCGCGAATTGGTAGTTCTATATTATCTTCAAATTGGCATCTATGGGCTAATTTTATATTTTTTTAAATAACTCAATACGGATTCTGTTGGTAGGCGACTTAATCTAATAAAATCAATTATTGATACCAAGACGGTTCATTCATCTTTAAAAAGTTGTTCTGCAATTCTATATAATTCTGCCCATACCACATCATAAATTTTCCTTGGAAATAGTTATTATCTGTTATTATATATTTATTCCTCCATATGCTATGAATAATTTTTTCAAAATTGCAACTGTTTGAGGAATATTAAATACATTCAAAATATATTTAATATAATCCAAATAATCATCTAACGAATTTTCCTCTTTACGAAATTCGTTTAATGTAATTTTTGAAATATCACCCGTAATTTCTAAATATATAAATATATATTTTTTTAACAAAAACAAAAAAATTATATAATTCTATTTAATATTTAACTTGACTGAAGATCCTATTTTTATTTCGTCGACAATTTAATTTTATATCTTTAAGAAACTACATAAAATATATGGTCAATAGTTTTTTTTTCAATTCTTGTATATATATATACCATTCTATATTTATTTAACTTAACTTCTATAAGTATTCAATTAACTGACCTTTTATATAATATTAAATATAAATATGTTATATTATTGTATGACAAATATATTATTCAAATAACCTTTAATATTATAAACTTTTAAAATATATAAAATATAACAAAGACTTTATTTCTTGCTAAATATTTAAAATTATAAAAAAATTAAAAAACGTATTGCAAGATAAATATATCATGTTGTAAAACAATTATATTGTAGTATATCATTGAAATCAGGATCATCCTACTATATTAATTTCAAATATAATATAAATGTCCATATTTCATTGTGAATAAATTAATAGCAAATATCAAAATATTTAAACTCCCTAAAGTTGAAATAAAGTTCAACAATCTTAATACATCCTCCCCCCCCCCGCCTTTCCCAAAGAATTTTATTGAACAAGCACGTGTCAACCATATTCCTTTAATAATTTTACCGAAATCATGAATCTTACCTCAGCGGTATTAGAATCCGAAGGTAAATATGCTAATTGTTGTAATTCACCATTCAAAACTTTGTATACTTTAAAGAAAGGAGGTAAAATCTGATATTCCAAATATGATATTATAAAACTTGAAGAATGCTAATTGTCGTTTTTTAAACTTTTTATACTTTGATAAAAAGAGGTAAAATCTGATATTCATGAAGAATGGTAATTGTCATAGTTGCCATATTTTAAACATTAATTTTTTTGATGAAAATAAAGTTAGATATTTTGAATATGATGTTGCTATGATTTAGGAGAATTAGAGGCCTGAAAAGATAGACTTGGCCCGATAGAGCTTTGAAGCAAATTTTAAAATAATTTTACAAGAGTTGGATAGAGCTTATAATCTAAAAATTAAAAGGCACCCATCATATAATAGAGAATAATTTAAGATTATTAGGTGTTTATCGGTGAAATCCAAACATTCTTAATTTTTCATATTGAATACACTAAAATTAAAGAAAAATATTACAAGTAACCAGTGTCGATAACACAAAAGGAAAAATTATTTTAGGAGACATATATGCCTATTTTATTTTAAATATAACATTAGTCATTACCCTAATATGTGATTTTAATTTAGGATTATACATTGAAATAAAGCCCTATCCAACTTATACCTTTTATATTTTTTTTGTTTAAAACAATTTGCGTTTTTTTGTTTCCACTAGCCTTCATATGGGCTTGGTTTAAATGTGAAATTCCTCTATAATATAAATCACTTTTATGGACGTAACTACCGACAACAGTCTTACGTATGATTCTAAATAATTTTGACAGACTCATTTTGCATATGCTTAAATTTTTAATTATAGTATCGTTCAAATTTAATTCAATTAAAATTTGTTTTCCTCTTATATACCCACCATGTAGAAAAGTATATTTTAAATAAATATATATATATATATATAGTCTCCCAACTTTATCAACGGCTTCTTGTATATGATAATGTTGAGCTATACCTCCATTCAATTGTTCCTGAGCAGGAAATAGTTTTAACTTCAGGGTAGATATTTCTTCGAATTTGGGATGACTCTTATCACTGGGATCTACAAAGTGCTCTATTTCGGCCATTGTGAACTCCCTTTTTTAAAAAATGATAAATATATTAGGCAAAATAAATATTTAATATATATAAAAATGCCACACATAATCAGAGTGTCAAACCTTTTGATGTTAGCTCGGTCCGGTTCAGGAAGAAAAAATTATAAAAGATTAAGTTCGGTTCATGTACGGTTCTGAAACTTTTAATGAAGGTTTAATAATATGGTACTCATATATACTTTTTATCTTATTTTATGATAAATATTAAGAATAAACTACAGTTTATAGTTAATAGAAAAATTTATTGTCAATTTATATTTATATGTAAGATTACTATTACATTATATAATTTAAAAACATCATCTATTATATTTGTCTAATCTTGTTCTGTGTGGTGATAGAACATATTAAAAAACTGAGAATGCTCTTTCGATCAAAATCTGTGTAGCTGGAACCATGGCTATTGTTGTTAATAGATTTCGGGTTGCTCTAATTTTTTTATGCCGTTAAATGAATTTATAATGGTACCTATTAATCGCCATTGTTTTGTTTGTGTTTTTTATTTGCTTAATGAATATCACACTAAAACACAAGAAAATGAGACTTTTAAAATTGTAGAAATTAGCTCAGAATTAGGAATATCAGAAGTATTTTTATTAATTCAAACAACGGTAAAATTCGAATAACATAATTTTGAAAGTAAAAACTATATCTCTAATGGTGTAAAATAATATCATTTACATAATATGTTTAAATATTTAACAAGAATGTTAATACATAAATTTTCCTTTATATTAACTTTTTCATTTAATGGTAATTTAAATATTCTATTTATAGCCGCAAAACAATATAAAAACAGATAATATAAAATTATAAATAGACCATTAAAATATAAATTACAACATGCATCGAATAAAATTTTAAAAAATGAGAAAAAAAATGTATGTTACATAGGGAAAAAGATGAAATAACAATAATATCACATTATATCAACGTTTGATCGCAAAGATCCCTAATGGAAATAAATATACAATATTAGATCTCAAAGACGCATACTAAAAATGAGTATTTACGAAGAATCGCAAGAATTATTAACAATGGTAACATCGATTACCTTTTGGTTTAGCTACAGCACCAATAATATTTCAAAGATATATGGACGATTTACTGGCTGACTGTAAAGATACAGCAGTTTATTTAGATGATGTTATAATCACAGGAAAAAATGATATATAAGAATATAAAACAAGTCCTCAAAAAATTACAAAATGCGGGATTAAAAGTCAAAAAAAGCAAAATACATTTTATGAAAGAAAAAGAATCATATTTAGGATACATAATTTATCAAAATGGTATACACCCAGATAAAAATAAAATAATAGCAATAAAAATGATCCAACTCCAAAAGATAGTCATGACATAAAATCATTTTTAGGTATATTAAACTATTATACAAGGTTCATACCAAACTACATGGAATCATAGTCGAATTTAGTGTTGCGTAATCGGCTAATTTTAGACGACTATAAAACGGCTTAGCCGAGATTTTAGGTGAATAAATCGGCTAAGCCTAATTAGGCTAAGCCTAAAAATTGGCTAAAATAAATTAGTCAAAAATTCTGCATCGATGCCTAGCATTAATTATTATTTATTTATTTATTTTAATAAAATAATTTATTTTATTTATATTATGTAAATATTTTATTATTATCAACAAATAAACATGATATGATTTAATATTTTTTATTTAGATTGTATTATTTTGAAATGAAAATAAATTTAATTATTTGATGTTTTTTTAATAAAAAAAATAATATGCTGCTATTGTAAAAATGTAATATTCTTTTTAATATAATTTATTAGTGATTTTCACAATCTTCTTTGTAGATACATCTTTTATTGAGGAATTATATTGTAAATTTTATTAGATAAAAAAACAATCTTTTAGGTGAAATCTTTTATAATATTTTTTTTATCAATTTTGTAAAATTGTCTATTTTTTTATTAAATGAGGTGTTGTTTTTTTTAAATAATTTTTTAAAAATATTTATATTAAACTTTTTTGATGTTATTTTATATGATCTTTTTAAGGATAATATTTTAATGTGACAATTGTCATAATCGTTATTTTTAAAGTTTTTCAATTTTTCTGACGAATATATGTTAAAATAAGTAATGATAACATATTTAAATAAAATTTAGTGAAGATGTACCGTAGAAAAGTGACAATTGTCATAATCGTTATTTTAAGTGTTATTATTTTTTTTGCCGAAAATAGATTAAAATAAGTATTGATAACATGTTTTGCCGAAAATAGATTAAAATAAGTATTGATAACATGTTTATAAATAATTTAGTGAAGATGTACCATAGAAAAGTGACAATTGTCATAATCGTTATTTTTAAAGTTTTTTGAATTTTTTTGACGAAAATAGTTTAAAATAAGTATTGATAACATGTTTAAATAAAAACTTAGTGAAGATGTACCATAGAAAAGTAATTGTCATAGTCGTTATTTTTAAAGTTTTTTTAATTTTTTTGACGAAAATATGTTTAAATAAGTATTGATAACATGTTTAAATAAGATTTAGTGAAGATGTACCATAGATAAGTGACAATTGTCATAATCGTAGTTTTAAAAGTTTTTTGACGTAAATGGGCTAAAATAAGTATTGATAACATATTAAACATAAAACAACATTAAAAAAAATCCAGGACGGGCCGGCCTTGAATATATAAAGTACGAACTAAAAATCCTCAGGCCTAATTTTTTTTTAAAAAAAGGAGCCGGGACGAAATTTTTATATTTTAAAAATTAGGGTCATGTAAATAACACCTCTACTGCTATCTCATAAATTAATTATTTAAAAACCACATTTAAAAATTCATAAACAACACTTAATATGAATAAAAAAAATTTTATTAATATTTACATCAAATTTGATGAAAAATAGAAAAAAAAAGTCGAGTTAATAATTTATTATTTATCAATCAAATTATCTTTAGCTTAAAAAAAAATATTTGTATTTTAATTTCTTAACCTATAAAATTAATTATAACATTAATTTTAACCCATTTGCTTCAAATTACTTAAAAATAACGATTATGACAATTTTCGCTTATCTAGAGTACATCTTCACTAAATTTTTATTTAAACATGTTATCAATACTTATTTTAAACTATTTTCGTCAAAAAAATTTTAAAAACTATAAAAATAACGATTATGACAATTTTCACTTTTCTATGGTACATCTTCACTAAATTTTATTTAAATATGTTATCAATATATATTTTAACATATATTCGTAAAAAAAATTCAAAAAACTTTAAAAATAACGATTATGACAATTGTCACATTAAAATATTATCCTTAAAAAGATCATATAAAATAACATCAAACAAGTTTAATATAAATATTTTTAAAAAATTATTTTAAAAAACACATCATTTAATAAAAAAATAGATAATTGTGAAAATCACTTTTACAATAGCAGCATATTATTTTTTTTATTAAAAAAACATCAAATAAATAAATTTATTTTTATGGGTAGGTCTATAAGTCGAAAGGCTAAAAAATAATATTGAAAATAAAAATAACAAAGAAAATGATTAATGAGATATTTGATTGATTTTTTGCTTTTTTTAGAAATTTTTTTTTATAATAACATTACATTATAATAGGTCCGTGAAGTTGGCCCCACAATTTTTGATTTTCAATGGTTTATCAGTTGGTGTAATTAGTACCCGATTTGTACCGTTTTCAGTTCGATTTGTACCATCACCGTTTTTGAGATATTCAAAGAACAAAATGGAGGGCCAACTTCACGACATCCCCCCACTTTTGAACTTAAAAATAAAAAGTGAATAGGTCGATAGAGAATGATTTGTACCATTTTCAGTTCGATTTGTACCATCACCGTTTTCCAGCTATTGACCGTTGAAAATATGGCGCCAAAAATAAAAAACACTCAAAATTAATTTTTTTAAAAGTTTTTTAACGTACAACGATAGAGATTTTTTTTCTCTTCCTAATGATGCCTCAAATTAAGCTTTATCTTCATTATTTATTTCGGAAATCAAAATTTAAACCTTATATTATAGTGTAAAGTTAGCCCCCCCCCCCCCGATATTCAAAATTTGAGATTTTTCAAATTTTTAAAACGGGATTGATTTGTACCGTTTCAAACTCGATTTGTACTATTACCGTTTTCTAATGACCGTTAAAGATATGGCGCCAAAAATAAAAAACACTCAAAATTTATTTTTATAAAATATTTTTTAACGTACAACGGTAGAGAATTTTTTCTCTTCCTAATGATGCCTCAAATTAAGCTTTATCTTCATTATTTATTTCGGAAATCAAATTTTAAAGCTTATATTATAGCGTGAAGTTAGCCCCCCCCCCGATATTCAAAATTTGAGATTTTTCAAATTTTTAAAACGGGATTTATTTGTACCGTTTCAAACTCGATTTATACTATTACCGTTTTCCAGCTATTGACCGTCAAAGATATGGCGCCAAAAATAAAAAACACTTCAAAATTTATTTTTATAAAATATTTTTTAACGTACAATAGAGAATTTTTTTCTCTTCCTAATGATGCCTCAAATTAAGCTTTATCTTCATTATTTATTTCGGAAATCAAATTTTAAACCTTATATTATAGCGTGAAGTTAGCCCCCCACTCCGATATTCAAAATTTGAGATTTTTCAAATTTTGAAAACGGGATTGATTTGTACCGTTTCAAACTCGATTTGTACTATTACCGTTTTGCAGTTATTGACCGTTAAAGATATGGCGCCAAAAATAAAAAACACTCAAAATTTATTTTTATAAATGAAGATAAAGCTTAATTTGAGGCATCATTAGGAAGAGAAAAAATTCTCTACCGTTGTACGTTAAAAAATTTTAAAAAAAAATAAATTTTGAGTGTTTTTATTTTTGGCGCCATATCTTTAACGGTCAATAGCTGGAAAACGGTAATAGTACAAATCGAGTTTGAAACGGTACAAATCGGGTACAAATCAATCCCGTTTT